ATGGTGCACAGCGCTCTCCCCTAGCAAACATGGTTCGTTTGAGGCCCTCACTTCTCCCTGCCTTCTCACAGGCAGATCCTTGATTAGTGACTGCCTCAATTAGCGACCGACAGTAATGGAAAAGTAACTTTGTAACCCATCCTTGCATTGTTGACCATCACAAGTCCGTAAAGCAAAGCAAAGCAAAACACGGATTACATGTATTTAAATGAAATATACACTTGTTATTTATTCTCCTCCTTTCTGTGCCTCTAATCTATGGCTCTTTTGGGACTTCCCGCTGCGTTATCTTTCGGATGCAAGCATCCACAACTTACTGCTTTAGGATCTCAGTCTTACGAACATGTCTTTTTTCACGGTTCGTCCTCATTTCAATAAAATGTCAAGTTGTTTTCTATTTGGTCTAGCTGTGGATTATTTTTTTAAAAATCATGCTCTGTTGGGAAAACTAACAATACGGTTCTTAATTAGCATCGAATGGCCATTGCGATTTAACTTGGGTTAATTGTACCATACCAAGGGTGGATGGAATGATTCTCAATATCGTCTGCTATTCTTTTGCAATGAATGTAGCTCACTTGTCTCTAAGTCAGTGTTTCTCAACCTCGGCAACTTTAAGATGTGTGGGCTTCAGCTCCCAGAATTCCCCAGTTGAAGTCCACACATCTTAAAGTTGCCGAGGTTGAGAAACACTGCTCTAAATGGTTAGATTTCTGCCCCCAACCCCAACCCTTGGGTTTTGTACTTCAGAGCCAACCAGATCTGGAAAAAGTGCTTGGGATGGGAGACCACCAGGAAGACGAAAGCTCGACTAAATTGGGAAGATCCTGACAGCCACTTCTGCAGCTGCCAAGACGAGTGCAGGGATGCCGCCATTGGTTCAGCAGGAACGAGGTCGGCTTTTAATAATAAGTACCTACCACGATGCACTTTGCACGGTTTTTCCACTTGCATCCACGCAGGGATTACGATGGTCTTTCAATTTCTGTCGCTCTCTTCTATATCCTGGCAGCAAATATCCAGAGGACAGCAAAGCGCTAATGTGAGGCGTCATTTGCTGCCTTCCAGCGGTCGCCCGGATTTTGCAGCCCACGCGCGGCCTCCCCACATCACCTTTCCTCCCGCGCCGGCACTCCCCACAGACAGCCGTGGAGGCGCCCGAGAGCCCTGCGGGGCCGGCAGGCACTGCAGAAAACGCCCACTAGGGGGCTCCCCGCGCAAAGGAGCGGAACGGGCAGCCCCCCGCCTTTCAGAGGGAGGCTGCGCATGCGCTCGGCAACTCGCCAGCGGCTGCAGAAATAGAGGCGCAGCGCGGGGGATTTTATAGGCGAGGATAACTGTTGCAACCCTGCGTAACCCCTTAGAAAGCACCCGAGTCATTTTTCGGTAATTCTCCATGCAACCCCGTCCATTTCCCGGGCAGCTCGGCCTCTCTAGCAAGAAACCCTCTTGCTTCGCGCAGCGTCTCCCGAAGGAGCGGAGCGGGGGGGACCCCGGGGGGGTCGAGGGGAGAGAGAAAGGAGACCCCCGGCGCTCCCCGCAGGGGAAGCGCAAAGCCGGGCCAGGCTCCCAAGACAGCCCCCGCCCCGCTGTGGGGAAAGGAAGGGTTAAAGCCGGCGGGCCG